AGGTCTTGGAGTCCATCCCCAGGTCTTGGAGTCCATCCCCAGGTCTTTGAGTCCATCCCCAGGTCTTGGAGTCCATCCTGTTCCAAAGGACCGACTCCACCGCCCTGGACGAAAAAGTCTTGAGCATGAGCGCCCCAGTCTCGTCGATCCGGACGTTGAAAGGCGAATGAAATGACCAACCGGTAAGGCGCGCGCCAAGCGGCTCCCGACTTCCAGTCGACTCACACAGTCTTATGTCAAACAGTCAAACAGAACTCATCCTCCAGGCGCATGCAGGTGGAGGGGGAAAAACCAGCGGCACCATCGGCTCGATGAACCAAGGTTCCCTTTGCCCTTCACCACCCAGCCGCACGCCGCAAGGGACGAGCCCAACACGAGCCCGGACCGCCGTTTAACCGTTAAGCCAAGTGACCAAAGGCCGGTAGGACCGTAAAGGTGATGTCGAATCCTGTGGGGCGAATCCCTTCTATCCGCAACAAGGGCAGTAGTAGCGACAGCCAACGCAGCAGTGCCAGCAGCAGCGCGTAGCCACAAGCGGAATGGTACTCGAAAATGCTGGAGGAGAAGAGCCAGTTGAGCTCCAGGAGAAACCAGCAGCTCATGATCAAACAGCTGAAAAGCCTGGGCTCACCACGGGACATGTCCGACTCTGTGATGAGGCGACCGTCCGGTCGAGAGTAGCTCTAAGTCTTAGCGCACAAATAAGAGCACACCACCAACCTGGGCCTGCTAAGATTTTTGGGGAGAGTCGAACGCGTGAATCAGCACAGCATCATACACATTCATACACCTTTTTTTACCTGCTCTAGTTGGCCAATAGCTGTTTAAGCAGCATCTTGGAAAGAGTGAGTCGTCAATCTTCGACCTCCCAAGTGGCGGTGGCCATGGAAAGGCCTCAGCGACATCCAGTCTCAAAGCCAGCAAAACGCTGATGACCAGCATGCTCGCAATGGTCTTCAGCCCGACCCGATCGAGGACTTGAGCATGTTCCTGCGCGGGCGTAGGCACCACTACGAGATGTCCAGAAGGGGCTCGTTCTAGTGGATTGAGAGTTTCGATGGCACAAATGTCCAATGTCGGTGCTTTAGATATAGACCCCCATCTTATCAAGTCATCTTGAGGTGCCAGTGCCGTCTGAAACCACTGGAAAATAGAAGAAGCTTTTGGCAAATGGAACAGCTCGTGAACCACGATGTGCTTGTTGCATAACCCCCCAAACCACTCAAAACCCTTGGTATTTTGCCTAGTCACATACAGCATCCGCACCGGGTGGTGATTGGATGGAACATACCTCTTCAGGGGGGTTCTATCAACCACCCTTTTGGATCATTCAGTATCCCTAGGGATCCAAGTACCTTCTCAGATGGTGATTGGAGACACTGTTATGTAGGTTTGGAGGGTCCAAGTACCCTCTGAGAAGGTACGACTGGATCCCTAGGGAACAGTGTCTCCAATCACCTTCTGAGAAGGTACTTGGATCCCTAGGGTATACCTAGGGCTCCAACCACCTCAGAAGGTGGGTATCCCAAACAATTCATGGGAGAATGCCCGTCCACCAAACCAGCTAATTCCAACCTTGACCCCCCAAACCATCTCAAATGGGCGAAAGGAAGGGTGTTGGCACAAATGGTCAAAGTAAGTGGCATCCTCTAGGTCCAAACTCATTTCTTCCATGTCTATCTTCGATATTCATCTGCTTCTGTTGGTTGCCACATCCGCACTGCTTCACTTCACTTCCTACCGCCACTGCCCAGCAGTCCGGTCCGCTCCGCCCCGACCTTCGGGTCCATCCCCACGGTCCGGTCCGTGGTCCGTATCCCCGGCGCGGGTTCGTCCGGTCGTCCTGGAGAGAGGCCAAGTCTTCGGTTTCGTCCCTGCGGCTCAAGGTCTTGACCACGCTTTCGAGGCCTCACGGGCGACAGCTCCGGGTTGGGTGACACCGCGGGGAGCGGAGCTCTCAGCTTCAGCTCGACACGTCTGGTTTTGGGACACCCCCGGACCCTCACCGCGCGAGCGCTGAAAAGGAAGAGGCGATGGATAGACACCTCGAACAGAAGGTGGGAGAGGTTGAGAGACCTATATACTACCACTGGGACCGGACCATATATGGCATAGGCATGGTCATGGCCTGCCTACGCTGTTCAAGCTCTGTAGGTGGGTCAAAAGCTCAGATGTGATCTGAATCACCTCAGTCTGAAGACACTGAGTTTTCACCCCCCACCGGCAGAATGAAAAGGGCCATACAGACACTGCAATATACACATATATCATAGAGTCGAGTTCTTTACAGTAGGACACTGGACACTCATAGCTGGAGTCGACCCATGCGTACCTCGACAAATGATGGTATACAGTTGTGCCTGTTTCTACAATCATGTAGCAATCGTCTAGGTTACTTTGGAGGCTCCAGGAAGCTGACTTGATACATCACCCATGTCCAGGATTATCTACAGTCAGTCGCTGGGTTTGGGCGCTTTTCGGGGGACCGCTTGTTTCAGGATTGAATCCGGGTGGAAATGCCCCAGAAATATGGCTTCCTCAAACAATGGTAGATAGACTAAAGCTCTTGGCTGTACCAAAGACTTCCCATTAACCCACTGGGACGTCTTGAGTATGACTCGATTCCCCATCCAAGCCGGCCTGACTTGGATCTATTTCGTATCCCACGCATCCCACGCATGACATGCCGCCGCCAGTGCCGCAGTTGGCGAAAGCCACCCACGGCCCAGGTCCAAAAGAGCAAATGCAACCTGGGTCTGGTTGATCAGGTCAAAACTTGGCCAAAAGTAGGACATGTTAGGTCCATGTTAGGCCCATGTTGATCGATGTTCCGGTCGTACGTCGTTCTTGACCAAAGGTTCTTCAGTCTTAGATGCCCAAAAGGATCATAAGGGAACAACAGAACAACAGGCGCCCTTGTGTGCTACTCAGATTTGGCCAAATTAGTCGCATGACTTCATCCAGACTCCCACATGGGCACGCCGCATAAGCACCATCGTACGCACTGCTTTTGATTGGCACTTCTGCGGACCAAAGGATCTATGGCCTAACCTGATAAGAACATCTATATACAGTAATTACGTTGGATGCTTGTAATTCCCACTAAACTAAAAACCACATATTAGCGCTTATATATACCAGGACCCGACTGTCTGTCGGGGAGTCTATTCATAGCCCCAAACAGCCGTGATTCGGGGTGGTTCATGGACACCACCCCTTTGAAGGCCCTGGTGTTCTCGCTCGACCTGCAGCGCCCAACCGACCTGGTGAGAACGCGACCGTCACCGACACGGAGCTCGACCGAAGCGGTCCTAACCGACACGGAGCGAGAATGAGGTGAGGTGATGAAGCAGTAGATCAGTCCGTCCCAGATGCTCCCGACTCAACATCCCAACGGTGCACCCTGGGATGTCAGTGGAGCACCTGACTAGTCAGGCTCAGCAGACAGCTACCTACCGCTCCAACAGCGGAAACTCCAGCTGGGACGCGACGTCACGTCGCGCTCCGGGCTGGGTGACCTGCCCTTTTGGTGTCCCCTTTCTTCCCCGCTGCGGTCACCGCTTGGCGTTTCTTTCGAGGGGCCCTTGTAGGACCCATAGAGGGATGAAGATCACAGTCCATGGACTGTGATCCAGCGTGTCCCAGCATCCACTGCCAAGTTTGCAAAAGGGTGCTGCGACGAAGCCGTAGAGCAGCAAAGTGATCAAAGCCACCAAGAATATTCCAGCAAAGCCAGAGTAGTGCGCTAAGTGAAAGCCCATGTCTAAGAGCAAAGGAACACTGTAGACATATCCTCAGCAGGATGAAGATCTGCAAACGTTCAATTGTTTGCGGTTCATCCAATGTCAGAGACCTTTCACGAATATTAGATGAATGGGACCGATGTTACATTCAATGTTAGATGCATGAATCTGTTCACCTTCAGACTTGGTTTGTTAGGACATGTCAAGTAGTACTTAACACAACCTGGACCCCTAGTGGTGTAGGGGCATCCAGCCAGGTGACCCCGTAATGAAGGTGCTGGCAGGTAATTGGTAATTACAGAAGCCCTAAGAGTCCAACTGACTCATTTGACCCTGGACTGCCTATCGGTGATGAGTCGTCCTGCCCAGGCGTGAGGCCAGTCACGTCACGGAAGTGGAATTCCACTGCAGTCCACCCACTGGAACGTTCGAATTCTTGGACCACACCTGCAACACCTAATCCTCCACCTGCCCGTAAGGAGAAACAGCCAGGACTAAGTTAGTCTAAGGGTGGATCTCCCTCAACGACTATAGTCTTCCGAAAGACTCAAGACTTGAGACACCCTGTATATATATAGCATTATATAGCTAATCAGATCCGTCCCAACATCAGCCTCTTCAAGCCTTCACCCCCCTGCCCGTGCCCACACACACTCGCAAACACACTGACAAGGAACAATCATACACACCAACAGACGCACAATCACAAACCCAAAACACAGTCACAAAAGCAATCACAGAAGGCAAACAACAAACAGACACAAACGCAAACAAACACATGTTCTTCTTCGCTGTGTTTGAAGTCTTCTTGGTCTTTCTCTTTCTTGGTCTTTCTTCGCCCAAGGGTCCAGTGGTTTCCACCCGCTGTCGCCAAAGCTTCATGGCCTTTGGGAGCTTCCCTTGGTCACAGAAGGTCAACGTTTCCTCAGGGATGGACGCTCACGCGGAACGCGGGTGACGGATGGACGCTGGGACACCGAGCGAGACTCGCCGGACGAGCGGCTGACGAGGGAAGGGTCTGAGTCGAGCGAACAGCCGATCGGGTGAGTGTTCGGGTGAGTGAACAGAGTGGGGGAGACTGAGAGCAAAAAAAGGACGCCATGTTTTTGTTCGCGCTTAAGAAGCCTGGTGAAACACCTATATAATCCTATATATACATCCTTTGAACACTTGAAGTCTCACAGTGGTTTCCTGGTCGATAAGCATGGAGGATTCTGCAGGATTCCCTTGATTGTGCACATTGTGTGGGGAGTTAACAGCAAACACGAGCAGAGTTTCTCACGAATATAATGAAGAACCATATAGCTTGAAGGCCCCCTGGAGGATGGCCAAATTGCATTTTGGATTCCAAGGAGCCAAACATGAGTTTGAAGACGACATACTTCATTAACCGCATTCTGGGATCTCAAAAGGTCATTGGGAAGGTCCTGGTAACTGTTTTTTGTCAAGGAACAAAGTCACGTATCCGTATACCACATCTTACCACTCATTGTTCTCTTACCGCACGCTTCCTTTCCAATACAGCATCGGCCGCATCGGCCGTGTTCTCTCCCTCCCACCGTCCCGCTCTCCTGCTCTCCTGACGCCCAAGGCACCGACACACGAGCGGCCAAGGTCTTCGGATGGGCCGCGCCTGCTTCGGTCCGTGGTGCCGGGTGAATGGAGGGGGAAAAGACCGGCTGTGGACGAAGAAACCCGAAACGCTGAGTTGTTCACCTCAATTACTAGTCTGTTCTCTTCATTTTCCCTGGTCAACCCGGGTCCCCTAGTTTTGAGTTGCGGCCACATCGTCAGGAGCCCCAGGGGTGTATAGACCACCCGAAACTCCGTAGTGCGGGGGCAAGCGTCTTCGAATTTGGCGGATACCAACCCCAGAAACATCTCCAAATAAGCTCTTCGACCACAACGCCACGCTGTTCCTCTCCCCCCAATAGAAAAAACAACTAAGTCTGTCATAATTAGTCTACAAATCTGTGCATGTTGGGCCCGGCCAGGCCCTAAGAACCACGGCTGTTTTGTTGCCTACTTAAGTCCATCGCTTCAATCACATCTTCACACTGCCCCCTTCCTCAGCCCCCTTCCTCCACCGCACCGAACCCGTCGGCGACGGCGACGGCGACGAAAACACGGCTCGGCCGAGGACGCACGCTCCACGGCGACGGCGCAGCGGAGGCCGAAGCATCACCGAGCGAGTGGGGGCTCCTGTCCCATCTCTGGAGCGGGCTTCGGTGGAGGTGGGTGCGCGACTGGGGGGTCTAAGCTCCGAACCGGAGATGAGCCAGGAGCCCTAGGCATTCCAAACAAAACGGAGGCGCCTAGCTGACTGCTCATTAAGAAGCTCACGTGATCGTACTCCTTCTCCGCGAGGTCTGACGTGGGAAGGGTTGGCAACTTGTTTTGACCTTTGGCCTCCCGGGGAAGACGACACTCCGTGGAACCCACATGGAAAAATGTGGAAAACGATGGAACCATGGCATCTTGGAAGACCATTTTGTACAAACAGGGGGTGCCATCCACTTCTATTAATTCCAGGGAGAGTATGCCAAACAGGATTTCTTGATGTTTCCGTGCAAGCAAACTTCCTTTTGGCAAAGGCTCTATTGGCCGAAACTCTCACAGGACCTGTCTGGTTCATCAGCCACTTGGAATCACTTGACGATGTTGCTGCTGCGACCTGTCCGTCGCTGCATCTGTCTCATGGGTCCATGGGTGGAAGATGGTCGAAGACTTTCTACTTTCACCCTGCAAAAAAACACATGGGAAACACAACCGCTTGCTTTTGCAACCGCCGCTGTTTCTGAGCACCCAGGGACCAGGCTTCTTGACATACTCCTCGCGTTAAAGGATCTCATGAACTCAGACACGAAACATGGACTTCCATACCCAAACCATCCATGAGACTGGCATATATCCCAATCAGTTGGGTTGGGTTGGGGGGTCAATTCATATTGATGCGGCATCTATTCCAGTCCCATGGATGGTCCTGGTCTGGGGCCAGGGATTGGCGTTCTTTTTTCAAGTCCCAGGCACCATAATTCCCCTGTGACGCCAAGGTCTGTGCCAACAAGAGCTGACATTGCAAGCTCGCTGGATGCGTCTTTTCCAGCTGGTGCCTGCCATCAGGAAACGCAGAAAAGGTGTCTGGAGCGAGGGAAATCCATGGCCTTTTGATGCCTTTGGTACAGTTGGTGAGATTCATTCATGTTCTCTACTGTACCATCATACGATTCAAAAAGGCATAGCTCTTTGCAGCTAAGCCATTGCTACTTCCAACGCCCACTGCTTCGCATCTGGATCCCACCGCTCCAATTTTTCATAGACATGTCACTGTCCATCTCACCCTTGCAATCTGCTCCACTGAATTCCCTATAACTCACCTTTTTCACCCCTTCCCCATCGTCCCCCCGATTTTTATCTTTTCTTTTTTACAATTTTTTCGAGTCAACACCTCCATTCCGCGCTCCCTATGCCTCCCTCACGCGTCACGTCCCATGTCGTCTCCGTCACCGTCCGTCCTCAGGTGCTTGAGAACCTCCCGGTAGTGCTCCACGGCCTGGCGTGGCTTCTGCAACGAGGCGCACACCAAAGCCAGGTCCTGGCGCCGGCGGTGCCTCTTCGGCGATTTTGGGGCGGATGGCTTCGGGCGGTTTTCTCCAGGGGCGGTTTCGGGGTGGAGCGTGATGGTGCTTCGGGGTGAAGTCAGTGGGTTTGGAGAACAGTGGTCACGGGGCAGCTGAGGGCCAGGGCTGAGAGGATGATGGAGAGACAAAGAGATCCGTGTTTTCCGTCGCCGAAAGAGGGTTGGGTGAAGTTCATGTTGTTTGACTCGTGACAACGGTAGAAACTGTTCAAGACTGACTATATTTGATCGAGAGAGGAGTCGCTTTTCATCAGTTTTCTATCAGACTTTGCTGAGAGTTGCGCTACAAACCTGCAGTCACCTGGAGTATGCCTCATGCCTACAGTACCTGCTTCTTGACCAATCACAGAAACCGTCACTCGATGTCTCGCGCTCGGACAACCAGTCCTGTTGGGACTGTAAGGTGTCGAAATGAGTCTCGCCCAGTAGGAGTCTTCGACCTCGATGAGCTTCCATCAGAAGCCTCAGGTGGGTGGCTCTGGGGGGCGTGTGGATGTTTTCGACCCTGTTTGGCGAGGGCCTCTCCCGTTTCACGAGCTGCAGTGAAACTAAAGACCGTTATTGCGGATTGATTGGAGAACGTATTCAAGTATAAGGTTACTTTGCTACCCATTCTAGCATACAATAGCGCATTTTTCAAGCCTGCAGCAGTGTAATGTGTGTCATAGTGACGCAAGCTTGGAAACGTGTTTAAGAAGCTAAAGATGTACGCACATTCCTGAAATCATCATACATGACAAACGAACACGGAAAACAAGAAAAGCATGGAAGGGCCCAAAGGCCCAAAGAAGTGGTGGACAAACGAACAAATACATCCAGAAAACTCTAATCTGAATCTGCATGTGTGTTTTGTTCCAACACGTTCGCACATCACACACAATCTGTGGTTCAAACATCAGGATTCTGTGAACTGGAAGGAGTCGTAAATTATGTTCGCCCAAACCCGCTACAGCTCAGCAGCGGTTCCGCTTCCCGCATCTTGTGCTGGCGCGTCAGGATATGGCCTGATAGCACCAGACTCTGGACCCGAATCCTCTGGAGGGGTCGGACCCGAATCCTATGGAGGGGTCCGGGGTTACTCACCAATCTACTAGGTTTTGAGGGACTAGTCGGGCTGTGACCGGAGCGTCTGGGTACAGGATTGACCTCGTCCAATCGACCAATCCTGATGCCGCTCCACACTGAGGTTGGTGCCGCGTGAATGGGCGAAGGATGGAGGATGTGGTGCCCCTGATCCACTTCTCACTGGATGACTGGATGGGAGTTTTAAGTAAACATTCCGCTCGTTGTTCAGGTCCTGCAGTGTTTCACTTGGAGCTTCACACATCTGCTCTGAACACTTCGCGGCCCCGTCGGGCGATGGGGGGAGTCTGAGCAGAGTGGCAGGTCGGCGACATCCGATGGCACTTTCAAGAGAGGATGACCTGTTCCGATGACAGTTATATACGAGTCAAACATGTTGAAACCGTTTGGAAGCTGACCTGGACCCTCCAGAGAGGTGCCCTCCACCAGTGATGCACTTCCTTGGGTGAAGGCCTCTTTCCTGGATAGTCCAAGCACAAACCCTCCAGCTACTCCTCAGGCCATCAAGAGGGGTCCCGCCTAGTTGACTCAAGGATCGCAGGCGTTCTCTTTCTTGTCCCTCCGGAAGATTCCTCATCACGTGCAATTGCAACGCCTCAGTTGCAAGGTGAGACGAAACCTCCAAGACAGGAGAGGAGTCGGAGGCTGCCATGGAGACCCTTCCGTGGACGTCATCCCATGCATGTCCTCAGAAGGTGGTTAGATCCCAAAGCCCACCCCCAACCACCTTCAAAATGGAGGTAGTTGGAGCCTTAAGGCATATGGGCCTTGGGCTAGGCCCACGTGATGTACAATACTACAATACCTTGTTGGACTCTCGGACAATCTGCCTTTCGAAGCGTTTGCAACAGCTGAATGCTGCCGGCAGTGAGCACATTCATCGGAAGAATTGAACCATTATTTAAACTTGTTACCTAGACCATCCATGTATGGCATATTTGCCTACATTGGGTTGGTTTGGGGGATCAAGGCATACATTCCATACACTTGAAAGTGTTTGATCGGCCCTTTTCCAAATGGAACCCAAATATTGATGTGCATATTGATGGATGCACCTATAGCCTGGAGAGATCCCTATATGGTTTGCTTGGGGGACATCTCGCAAACACGATTACGGCCAATATCAAGGAGGCCTTTCAACGTGGATCTTTGGAACCGTCAAGCTATCATTGATCAATAAGAACCAGGACCTTCCACTCGTGACCTCTGAAGAGGTAGAACCGTGACCAACCCGCCGAAGGCTTTCGTGACCGGTCACGAATGGAAGGCTTTCGTCCAAGCCGTATCGGTTGCGCCAAGGCACATAGGCATGTTTAAAGCGCCCGAGCTGGGTGAGGATGTGCGACAAATGGGAGGCAGCCCGAAGGGTGTCTAGATCGTGGTTCCCACGCTCTTGGCTCCTGCCACGCGCGCGAGGGTTTGGACGAAGACGCGGTTTGACTCAGTCGAGGAAGTCGGCGGCCGTATCGAGAAACGCATCCAAAGTCAAGGAGGACGGCACTTGGAAGGTTGTGTTGTTGTCCTGTTCTTTTGCACGGTACAAACACCCAAACTCAAGCAAACACCAGCACTATATGGTGTGGTGCACTATCACTTAGTGTGCTGTGAACGGAGCGTTCGGGTCCCATGAATTCCAATGAACCCTCCATCTTCACGGAGCGTCTCCACCATCTTCACGGTCAAGTCCAAGAGTTCCTCACTTCGGGGCGAACCTGTACTTGAGGCGAACGGTCAGGATGGCCACCAAGCCCTTGGTTTCAACATGTTTCAACTATCCCTAAGAATCCGGGCCCGAACCAACGCATAGGGTTTGGTTCGGGCCCGGACCCCTGCGAAGGTGTCGGGTCCGACCCCTGCCATGGAGAGCCCAAGGATTCTTAGGGATATAACTATACTGAACAAGTCCAATCTTCACCAAGCGGAGTCAAGATGTCTCAACCATCCCATCGGATGTGCTTCACAGATCACCAGTTCCCCCATGTTCCCCCGACCTCGCTCCTGAATTCCACCACCTCCTGCAGGCGTTTTTGAGCCTCCACCAGACGCCCACTGCTGCCACAAACCAAGGCCACGCGCAGATTGGCCTTCATCTTCTCCTCTGGAACGCTCGCGAAGACAGGCCGCGTGAGTGGATGATGATGGTCTGGTTGGTGGTTTCAACTCAACGAGAAATGTGGGTTCAATTATCCCAAGTACAGGTTGAATATACAACAGTTCTCAATGTTTTTTACCGGATTTTGTTTGCTACTTTGCTGCTTTTGCTAAAAACAAAAACACACATTGGCCATGGGTTGAGAACAATAATTGCCCCGTGATCAAAGACCAACACCCTGGGAGGCCATCAATCACCACCTTGGTATTTGAATGAAGAGTCTCGATGTTGCCGTATCAACGCCTGAGAAACCTGAACGCCACCGTTCTATCGCCAGAAACGCGCGATGCACATGTGGCCTCTGAAAAGTGCCTGTGAAACACGCCGGTGAATTCCACTTGCATGTTACTTCGGAGTTCCACTTATGGTTGTCCACTTCGTTGAGACCTCTTCGAAACCCACCGTTCCTTTAGCCAACGTTCCCATGGCTGCACCTTCTTACCGCCCCTTCAGAAGATTGCTCCGGATCCAAACACTTGCCATGTAGCTTCGTGTGATACTCGTAGCTTTGGCCTCCCTACTTGCGATGGCCTCCACCTCAGCATACAGCGTCCAGAAGCTAACGTACTAAATATAGTAGCTTCTTAGTAGCTTCTTAAGGTGCATGCGCAGTTCCAGTGCTCCTCCTGGGTACTGTGGATGTTTTGATTCACCGCCTCGGCCCGTTGGAGCACCCGGTGCAGGAGATTGCCCCGCGCATTCAGCTGGCGCAACGTCCCCTGGCGCCTCGGTGCCGTTTCCATCGGTGCGGCCCGTAAGGGAACGGAAAGGAGACGGACAGAGGGACCCATGAGATCGGTGGGCTTGGTTTCATTTCTGATCGAATTCAATGTAGTTTCAATGTGAATTCATTCGAATATAATTCTATATTGATTTCGTGTTTCTAATATCTTAAGCTACCAGTAGTACGGCCAGGAGCCCCTATATCGTGGGGCATGTCGTAGCTTCCTCCTTGTTCCGAGCGAGATTCATCGGACCATAGAGATCGGTCAGGTGGCCTCTGCACTGGCACCCCGGTGCCAAGGCGATATATGTGACGAAGGGTCTTCCATCTCGGACCTTTTTTTCGGACTCATGGGGGACCTGAAGGAGGATCTTTTCAAAGGTCTGGAGCAACATCTGGAGATGAAAACCATGCGGACTGGAAAATTGATCCCCCAAAGCACCTGTATGGAAACCAATCCTGGCCGCGTCGATCGGCATGCCCGTCCCTTCCGTGGATCCCCGTTGGAGTCCTTCGGGCACGGCACTTGAGCTTCCAGGTCTTCGAGCGCCCCACCGACGAGGTCTTCGAGGGGTTGCCGCGCAGGCTCGTGGGCGTGCGGGTGCCCGATGGTGTGGGCGGTGCCGTGGGGCGCGTCAGGGTCCAACTGGCATTGGGTTCCTGTGAATCAGAGCCCCGCAGCGGGGCGACCGCGGCTGGGGTGAACTCATGATGTCTTGAGATGGGCAAGTCCAATGTCATTCAAACATCCTCAAACTTATTTTGCTGAATCAGGTACATTTGAAGCTATGCTGATAAGGAGACCTGTGTACAAAAGGTCTATGTCTGTCTTGCCGCGCAAATCACCCAGAAGAGATGGACATGGATCGCAATTTTGACCCCTCGTCTTGAAACCGTTTGGTGTTTTCATGTCTTGCCCGATCCAGATGACCCGGGATCTTGGGGCTATACCCTAGGGCTCCTGGCCCACCTCCGTTGAGAAGATGGTTGGGGTGGGTGCCAGGGCGGTCGAATACCACCGAACCTGAGGAGATGGGCCAGGAGCCCTAGGGATAGATAAACCCTTCAACCATCTTCAACCCTTCAATCGTCCTCTGCTTGAGTCTGATTGATGATCACCACGCAGCAGCGGGCGGGCAAGCCTGGGGGACTCAGCTCCTGGGGAAGACAAGTCCAAAGCACCGTCCAGGCCACCGGCCGGTGCTTAAAGCAGGCAATGAGATATATATGAGGACTGCCATCTGTTTGACCAAGCTGATACAAAGATGTTGAACACCAATGAAAACCACATGGAATCACCAAAGCCACGTCTTCATGTCGTTCATCTTCGTACCAAGATGTTGCAAACCACAGTAAACAGTAAACAGCAGGCAGCGAGCTGTTTTCACTATAGATCAGCAGCTAGACATATGCTGTTACAATACTAATCCCCCATCTAAAAACTATCCCAACTCATGAGGATCATGTGGATCTTGGGGTCGATAAGCTCCTTATCTGCCAGATTCACCCCCGGCGGCTTGCCCTTCTCCACCATCTCCGGTGTCTGACGCACCGACACATCGTAGGCCTTCGGTCTTCAGACCGGAGATCCAGGTTCCACGGATCACCCACGAAGGCAGCGACTTGGAAAAAGAAAGGAGCCAAACATCCGATGTTTCAGTTTTGGGTGGTGATTGGATGGCAAAACACATCTGACAAGGGGATCTGGGTGGTGGACTTTCCATGTCGGGCTGACCAAAACTGGGAGTCAAGTACATCCACCTAGCACTAGGAGGCTGAACAACCAGGCCCAATCGAAATGTGTGCGGATGAATAAGCAGGGAGACACCCGGGAATGGTTTTTGTCTATTTTCCGAACCTTTGAAGAGGAGGTCGAACTGGGAGGTCTCCGGATTTTAATACACACTCAAATCTATCAGCAGTGGGGTTATATCCCTAGCGATCCAAGTACCTTCTCAGAAGGTGATTGGAGGCACTGTTATGTAGGTTTGGAGGGTCCAGTCGTACCTTCTGAGAAGGTACTTGGATCCCTAGGGTATTATTTTTGAAATGCCGGTCCATGCATACGCGGGATGGATGGACCGCGGATGAAACGCGTCGACTGCTCTGCACCGCGCCTTCGCAGGTTCTACCAGGATCGGAATGCAGAACATGACCCGCGGAGGATACTCTTGGTCGACATAGCTCTTGCCTTTCAGTTCAAGATCTCTCTTCATCATGCTCCTCGCAGAACATGAAAAGCACCAAGATCGCATGTTCCAAAAGAGGATGGGACGTCGCAAGTCACAGTCAAACTGGGTGAGAGCAACTTAAAGCGAAACCGCCTCTTCGAAGGGGAAGACGAGTCCCTGCCAGAAACAACCACAAAAAGGTATGATTGGAGAACCAGGTTGATCTTCCAGTCGTGACCGAACTGGATCCCCGAGGTCTTGGGAGGCTCCGGAGGTGGGTCACGACTGGAAGAAGCTGCTTTTAGGGGAGCACTTCATTGATCCTCCTGTTCAATGTCACTGTCACTTGTCCAAAAATGTGTGGTGGCGGCGCAGGCAGGAAAAGACGGTGGCCCGTGGCTGGCCCTGGCTGGCATTGCTGAGAAATACAGAGAAGATGCAAGCTGCGGAACACCGTGGATGAGAACAGGGTGGTCGGTGGCAAAAAACACCGAATGTGATAGCACTTCACCTTTTGTGAACACATGGTTCATTGACCAAAACGATGGAGACACGACGAGTTTATCTTTATCTTTGGGGTTGTCGTGTCCTGGCCATCCGCCCTGCCCGCGGCCTGTAGTTGTTGTCCAAGATCTGCTCTTTGTTCTGGGCAAAGGGGAAGACAAGTGCATCCGCACAAACATGCACAAACCAAAGACTCAAGTCTAAGTACATTCTTCCCTTTAGATTGTGAGATCCCATCCCCTGTCACAGAGTGAGTAATGATGGTTAGTATGGTTAGTAAAAGGCCAATTCTCAAAAAAGTAATGTTTTGGGACTGTGACAGGTACTCGGGGACAGATCTTATCTATTAAGATTCAAAATCAAGTAATCCTTCACTATCCTTCACATCGATCCAAACGTCCTTAAAATCAAAGATCCAGGAGAACCATCTGCCCCCACCCAGGGTCAAAAATAATCTATCCAAAGGGTCGCTGCATTTTTAATCCCCTTGCGGCGCGAGCCGCGGCTCGTCTGAAGAAACTTCTCGCGGCTCGCTTCTCTGAAGCCAAAAATGTTTCGGACGGTTCACTTCTGCACAAATCCTATAAATTCCAACTTGGGAAAAATATCCAAAACGGGACTAGAAGATCGAGTGATGATTGAGGTTCTGATGGGTTACCATGGGGTACATACTAATCTCTGGGATCCAATCGTGCCTTCTCGGGCGTGATGTGTTCCACACTGAGACATGTCGGTGCCATTGTCGGGTCCAATCGTACCCTCATGAGATTCGGTACGACTGGAGCCGCGCCTCGCCTTTCTTCCGGGCCCACCCTGTCCCTTCTTCCGCCCTTCTCCCCGCAGGCCTAGCCGCAAGCCCCCCTTCTTCCCCCCAAAACAAAGGATTCGAGCATCGGTCACATTGTGGGTCAAAGCCCAAAGACCACTGGATCATCCTGGACCCTCCAGCCAGCCAAGCATTCCAGCCAGGAATGCGTGGGTCTTTTTTCCAGCCAGGATGCCCCTCTTGAATGCTCCTGGTCCCTTGTAGTCTTGCTTCATTGATGTTCGGTCAACCAATCGATCCCCCATGGTCACCCCACCGCCTCCCATCCGGTGCCACATCCGTGCCTCCCACTCGTCCGGCGCCCTGGGCACCGAGTAGACCCCCTTGCCCCACCAGGCGTTCGCTGTCTCGCCCTCGGTGCGGATGGACGCCATGAGCTCCACCTTCTCCTCGGCGCATCGCACGCTGCTCGCGCTCTCGCGCAGGTTTTCAGCGCATCCCGCGGCAGCGGAGACGGACACGGAGGTGCCGGGTGCGTCGCGGTGCGTCGCCCGAAGGAGATCCGAAGAAGCCACCGAAAGAACTGGAGACTGAGAGTCTGAGACGATGACAGTGCGATGCATGAGTTGTTTGTATACAGGTGTTGTTGATGGATGGGTTTCCAGTGCCAGACATGCTTGAGAGAAGCTTCCTATATGTATATGCAAAATCAAACGAGCATCGCCGCCCCTTGTGCCACCTCCCAATCCCGAAAAAACAACTGGATCCTTCAGCTGTACCACTTGAACTAGGACGACAGGGGTGGGAAACTTCATCCCGGGGTGTCTACAGAAGTGGCCGCAAAATTCAAACGACATAATGACATCTGGAAGTTTTGGACAAGACCTCTATAGGATCCCTTACGGGATCATTTCACTTTATTAAACCCAAAGACGCAAACCCTCCGCTGGAAGTCAAAGTGATATATAGAATAATTAGAGCTTCTTGCAGGTTTTCAATGCTGCTATAGCTTGGAGGTGAAGTTGACAGGTCTATATCTCGCACCCGCTGTGCCGTGCAAAGTTTCTCTCGCACACCCTCTCCAAACGAACCTGGACATGTTCAATGCTGGTCCAATTATAGTCAAGCATCCTTGGCTTCGTTCGTGATGTTCTGATACGCCAGCTGCGTCGTATAATGAAAGAGCACCTGCCCTTCTTCATCTCCTGCCAAGCACGCGTGCAATCCCTCACGCAGCCCAAGAACTCTGGAACATGGCCATCAACTTAACTTGTCGATAAATCCAAAAGGAACAGCACCCTGAGATTGGGTACCTCTATTGCTATATGTGTATGTCGTATACTGTCTCTTGCAAATCACGATGGGAAGTTGGTCCTTCAAAGAACATCCTCACCACGTGAGCGGGTGATCTCTTAGTTTCTGACATGAATGGTGCTACTCAGTAGCTGATCTTCTGATGGCTGTCCAGGGAGAGTTTCCGAGATCCAAGTGCCCTGAAAAATCCTGTGTTGCCTCCAAGAACCTCCCCCCCAAAACAAACAAACAACGTCTCCTCCTTACCAGGGCCTTCCCAGTGACCTTTTGAGATCCCAGAAATCGGGTCGCAAAACGGTCTTGAAAAGGTGACGTATACCAATCGAGAAGATGTCACGAGTGGAAGGTCCTGGTAATACATCTGTGATACAGAATATATACCAAGGCCTTCAAGGGCATGGTTCATGGACACCCCTTGACAGCTAAGGGGCTATAAATAGACACGCCTTGGAGGGTCCTGGTATAGACCCATGACCCTCCGACCTCACCACGCCGCCGCTGCGCTACCAACCGCTGATTCCACCGCGCCTGTGTCGCGGAGGTCCAGGGGATCTGCCCAGACGGTGATGCCGCTGGGGTGGTGGTGATAGCCCCAGTGCTCCTCGCAGAAGGTGTAGTCCGGGTGTTCAAAGATGAGTCCTGAGAGGCGGGCTGAGCTGGGAGGCTGAGCGAGCTGCAGTGGAGAGTTGGGTTCTGGGTCTTTGCTTCGGGATTCGGTGCCGAAAGAGAGAGAGAGAGAGAGTGGCGGGCAAGGAGAGTATGGGCACAGTTGTCTTTGGTTGGATCCTTTGCTTGCCGGTTTGGGGAAGGGCTTAGCACATGGGCTTGCCAGTGGATGCGTTGGATGTGTTGGATAGAGTAGCCGAAGAGCCGAAGGCACCGGCACCACCCAATGAGTTCATTGGTCGACCAATGGGGAGAACCCTGAGTCCTTTCGCCCGCCGGGTAGACTGGCCTATTTCCCCCTCAGAATCCGGGCCCGAACCAACACATAGGGTTTGGTTCGGGCCCGGACCCCTGCGTTTCGGTGTCGGGTCCGACCCCTGCGGAGAGCCGGATTAAGGAGGGACATCGATCGCGGGGTGGAGGGACATATCCGCACAGACACACTTCGCCATCGGACCCCGTTCCGGAACCTGGCTTTTTTACACCCGGTTCCACCCTTTTCCTCATACCACCAAGGACCAGCTATAGGATGCTATAGGTGTCCGGTTCCATGTGGTCCTCTCTGCAAGGGGAGTCCTTCGATGCTGTTCTGCCGTACTTTGCTTCGATCCCCAACGGAGCCATCTCCGAACCGCGCCGCGCCGCGAAACGCGCAGCGCAGAGCGCCCAAACGCGCGCGCGCACCTGCATCGTAGCCGTGCTCGAAGTAGTCCTTCAGGGTCGAAACCGTTGGAGCTTGCATCCTTTCATCGGGGAAGTCGGACAGTTTCTCCGTGCTTGCCCCCAGTCAGCATGTTTGTTTATCTGCGCAGGACCAGTTGCACGTGTTCTTTGGAGCTTGCAGCCGATAAAAAATCCTAACGATGCAGAAATGAACACCAAAGGACTATTGGAAGACCATGAAGTCAACTGGTAATGGATCATGACACGAGAGAAAACCCTCAGAGATGTGGGCTACATGTGTCTTTTTGCTGCACTTCTCTTGGCCCATGAAGTCGGATCCTGATAAACATGCTTAACGCCAAACCTCCTTACCCCTCTTTGAGGAAGAATTGATGGAGTATGATGGATTTGAAACTCCTCTCTCTGAGACTAAGCAAACTATTTTGAGCCCAAAGTGGAGCGGCAAGACGATGCGGCGACAAGCTCCATGAGGTCCACGCAGTTGCGAGCTTCGGAAGATGCGATGTTCGGAAAACATGGAGGACACCAGAATCGCCCAAAACGTCAGTTCAAGGGGCCCAAACCCATTTGAGTTCAGTGCCCACAATGAACCCTCCGCCAGAAGTGGAGAACTTGGCATGTTCGAACCGTACAATTAGAGGTTCAGAAACATCAGAAACAACAATTCTGCCAGGTGCCCGTTTGGTCCGTCGTCGAGGTCACCAGATCTTGCCTTTTCCCCAAATGATAATCCAGTGAACAAACGTTTCCTCTGGAATCACGCAGTGGACGGAATCCCAACCTTTCGAGTACTAAAGATGTACTTGAGTGGCAGCGATTTTGCAGAAATTAAACATGATTGACATAAAGATCTGAAATTATTGAAAAACAAAACACTACATTCACGGTGCACGCAGAACCAAGAACCTTGCAAGTCATCCCTCCAACTCAGCGGGTCTGTTTGGTTCACCATTGTCGTTCCTCACGCACCAAGTCGGACATTCTCAGCTCCTTTCAGGACGAGAACGTGGATCCACAACGTTCGGCCGAACGGCCGAACGGCCGTTCACGCCGTGTGCATGGCATGCATGGCGTGGCGTGAGTGGGGGCGTCGGTGTGTGGAGCCATGGTTTCAGATGAGGATTCTTGAGGTCGGTGTGTCTCAAAAACCGGAGACAGACCTTCAGCGTTACGACCCCCTGGACATGTCGACGTCATAGACATCATACTACTAAATACCACTGCCAAAAACCTATTGGGCAGCCGGAGGTCCCCCTGATTTACACACTGCAGGTCTCAGATGTTGACTTGGCAACCTCTTGGAGGGGTGTTTGGATGATCCGAGCATCGTGAACCAAGTCATGCGCTTGGCCGTTCGCCTTTGTGGACTCCTGTGACCTCACCTTTTCGGCCGACGGACGAGGTCCGCCCCCAGTGCGGCCGAGTGGGCCAGGTCGGGGCAAGTGCAAGGACAAGTGTCGACGTTAAGCCCTTCGACCAGCTGATTCCGAAGAGGAGAATCCAAGTAGAACTGTGTACAAATCATCTGTATCGCCAGAACATCCATGCATGGCATATTGCTCACATTGGGATGGTGCCAGGGGGGTCAATGTAGGATATTCCGATATTCCATTACAAGGGATGGTCTCTGTATTGCAGTAATACCTCATGCTTCCAGCTGGATGCTCCTGACGGTTGAGAGTGCACTTTCCTCAAACACTTGAAACTAAACCACGGCTTTCGAAGCTCCTGGGTTTCCATCAAGCTCCGAAAACAAAGCGCCGAAAACGGCGCCGCGCGCTTCACAGTCGCGTCGGAAGTTTGGCTCAGGATTGAGTATCTTGGAACGTTGGCCATGTTCTCAACTGGTTGACTTGCCAACACTTCGAGCTGGCACTTGTGTATGCAAATCCTTCAAGAAGGAGACTATATACGTCAAGGAATGTCATCCGGGATGCCTGAGACATGACTTGAATTTTGTACGAGTAGCTTCTAGGCCAAGCAATCCACCAATTGAATTGCTTTCGAAGGGAGGCAGGTGACTACGTGGTGGCGGGTGACTAGGGTGTCGGTCCCCTAAATGTAGGCGTTCATCACAGAGTTTTCAGTGATGCAAATCGTTCCAAGCTTAACTTGCAGAGCCACCGGTGGCCACGTTGGAAGCCATTTCCTTCCACTGAAATCGATCTCCAGCCGGTGAGGAGGTCTCCCTTTGACATTTGAGCCAGGAGAACCTTTGAGCGTGCTGTCTTTTCATATAATATACGTATATAATATATATATATATATAAATGTTGCTTGACAGGCATCCACATTGGGTGGGTTTTCCGCGTTCAACAGCAAAACCAATCCCACAGTGTGTACATGAACCATGCAGTGAACGTTGAAGCGAGCCCTCCCGAACGTCCAGGAATTCAGTTCAATCTAATTATTCTCATCTTTCCAGAGCCATTCTCGCACCCAGTGCCGTTTGTGGCCAAGATGCTTCTGCACTCACCAGGAAGCTTTACCACAGATCATCTTAGTCGCGCTTTATGGAGCGACTCCGACTCAAATCACGAATCCGAACGTAAAGTCCGTGAAGTCCGCCCAGCGTCGGGCTGGAGGGGCCTGGCGTCAGAACTATTAGGCTTAGGACCCACAGCTCATGCCAGTTCTAGGCTTCTAGGCAAATCCATCCAGCTCCATCCAGCTGTGTCACACCTCCCTCCAGCACCGAACAACCCTCCCCTCCCCCGCAAGCCGCCTCACGTCGTCCCCACCGACTCCACCATCTCCACCGGCTCCGCTTCCGCTCTCGGCAGCTCCGCAGGTCCAATCTCGGGTGGAAACACCCAAGGAGCCCCCTCTTTCGCTGGCAGCTCCGCTCGCAGCTCCGTGGGCACCGGCTCCTCACGCGGACGAAGACTCTGGCTCCGTTGGCTCCGGCTGTTTCCGGGTGCACCAACCCGGCGGTGCCGGGCTTTTGGTCGGCCAAGCACTTTCCGGGTCCCCTATAAGCAGTCCATCCCGCTAGCTAGTCTCACGTCGACAGGTTGCTCATGGTTCCTCACTCTTTCTGATGCCAAACACGTGTAACACGTCCTCGCAACAAAGTGACTAAGGGTTCGACCCAACAAAATATGACCTCACTCAAAAAAGAGCCTGTTCATTCCGGCACTCCTCGAGATCGACCGTCTGTTCGCCTTCGCTCTCAGCGGCGTTCCGCGGCGTTCCGCGGCGTTCCGCGCCGGGCTCGAGAACGGCGGAACGGGGCTCCAGCGCCGTGATGGGCGGCCTGGGGCTCTCATCTGGCCAGGCTTCCCTCCGTTCCTCCTGCGCTGGAAGAAACGGATGGATGGATGAAATCCGAGTCTGCTTGGCCCGGCGGCTTTTGGGGATGGTCATGGGATGGTCATGGCCGTCCACCCGATCCTTTTTGAAGGGGTTCAATGAACGGCGAGGCCCAAGATCTCCCCTACATCGATGTCTCAAATACCCATTGTAAAACCTAGACCTTCGCTGTATGTTGAGTATAGTGTTTTTTTTGTGGAATCACAACTTCATTGAACGGTATAGTGTCTCACAACATCTCAAAACCATTCCCAAACCCAACTTCCAAAATGGGTCAGCCGCTCCCATTGGTCTCCAGGTCTGGTCCTCCTTCAGCGACTGCCGGTTCCGGTACCTCTCTCTGGTCTCGAACTTGTAGGTGCCGAAGAGGCATGGCAGGAGGAACTGGATCAGAACAGTGAAGGCCAACATCGACATCCAAACGAACCAGTTCAGCCGATTGACCTCAGACCCACGCGCTGGCCACGTCCGAACATCACCTTTGCTGAGCGGATGGAAGAACGCGGCGGCGGCGGAACGGACGGGACGATCGGGGCTGGTCGCCATGTGTCGGAGCCCCTGGACGGGACGTCCCATGTTCTGCGGCAGCTGGGGTCCGCAGTGGGCCGTTCTGAAGCCGTGGGAAGAACCAATCGGGCCGATAATTCATCAAATCTCTGTGATTCTCGTGATTCAAATGATGTTTCTAAACTTTGAGCAACCGCAAGGTTGAGGGTGGCTAAACTCTTTGATCATCACTGGTCTTGCTTGGAGCCATTTTGGCACCCAAATGTTGTTGCACACGACCCCAAAACCATCAACATCACAAAACCAAAGCACCCCAGTCCCCACCTCCCCACCCACCTTCCCCCTCCTTCCCCCACCAACCCAGAAACCACACGGCACCCGCGGTCGACATCGCACCACGTCGCACCACTTCGCACCACTTCGCCCGTCGCCGCGGAGCTACGGTGGCTTGGAGCGCCACCGTGAGGACCTCGCGGCCTTGCAAGTCGGACGTGAAGTCGCAGACCACCTGCGAGCGACGCGAGGACGACGCGTGAAGTCGCGACGACGTAGGTCCGAGGTCGACCCCAGTCGATCGCGGACGACCGCGGTCCGAGTCTGAAGCGCTGCGACGAGCTTCGTAGCGAGCGACTTCCGCCGGTGAAGCACATGACATGGAGGTCTCCCCTAAATAACGCGCCGCGCATCGGAAGCTGGCATGAAAGAAGCCTTATCGTTGAAGATGGAGGTGCTTAAGGAGCCCTTCGTGGAGCTCCAGCTGCCCTCATCCAGCCTGACACTCGAAACCAGTGAACTGGGGGGGATGTTGCCTATGGAAACATGCAATCCCGATGGCACTATGGATCCAGTCGTACCTTCTCAGGTTCGGTACGACTGGACCCTCCTGGCACCCAAATAGCGGTGTCGAACACATCACCTGCTGAGAAGGTACGACTGGATCACTGGGGTATATTACCCTCCGGGATTGCTTTGCAACGAATTTTGCCCCAAGGTCCCCAAGAAAGGCAGGTCAATCATGGTCTTGGAAGGCTAAATTAGGGCATACAGCATGTTCCCCTTCACTGTGGGCCAGGCCCTGTCAATCCAATTGTCTGCAGAAAACCGAACTACGCGCCAAATACACACAAATTGGACAGCCCGCCCACCCGCCCGCGGGAGTCACTCTTCGCGCCGAGAAGCAGCACGCACAAGGAGTTCATCCCTTCGACGGGCGCCCAGGGAAAGGCCACCCTGCCCGTGTCAGGTGAAAGCGGTGAAAAGAGGCGTTCGGTGGGGGGTGAGGCCACAGATGTCTTCCCAAATACAGGCGTATGTG